TGCCACAGATACTGGGGTACGGTGGGTACCTGCGAGGTGTGTTCACCCTGACCTGTGACACCAAAAACAGAATGTGGCCAACAGGCAACCTCCGAATGATGATCAAGATGACGACCTCCAATCAGATGGCCCCTCCACGAGTGGGGAATGAACATTCTATCCTTTCTATGTTTCTGGAAATAGGCTGTTGACAAATTAAGACTGTCAGTTCTTTGAACAAACTAATGATAAGTTGTTACTATATTAGAACTAGTATAGATATTGTATTAGAATAGGTAACTGATTTTAAGATTGATAGTGTATTTCTTGTAAGAGGAAATCACAAGATTTGATCTCTCCGACCATTTCAAAATTGCCTCCGATTGAGGTTCTGATTGATAATTAGCAACTGCTAGAGGAACCCCTGGAGTTGTGTTTGTTCTCCTTTCTGCAAGGGGCACCACAGAGGATTACAAACACCTCCTTTAAACAAAAAGGGGGACCTGTGGATGTGACATCCTGGTCAGAGAGCGATAAAACTAGATAAGTTTTCCCAGAATCGGCTTGAGAGACTTTAGGGAGTTGAAGATAAACAATGATAGCTTATTATTATAAACACCTGCAGGTGTTGTTTTCCTACTCTCTGTTTTCTTGTTTTTCTCAAAGATTGTTTATAAGAAGGGCTTCTTGTTAATTAGCCAATCAGGTGAAATGTATTAACTGAATGACCAATCAAATCTACCTGGATTGGAACAGCTTATAAAAAGGAGCAGTTCCAAATATACAGTGTGCGTTATGCCAATCAACCTTCTGATGAGTCTGCGTCATTACTTACTCAAGAGTGACAGATATTAGCAAAGGCACCTATGCTAAAGCAAGCAGATGTTGAAGTAGCTGTGATCCCATGAGAAATTTGGACAGAAAGAGAGAAGAGTGATGAAGATTCTTTGCCCCCAGGGAAAAAAGAAGACCTCTGCTCCTAGAGATGAGGACAATTTCAGAAATAGATAAAGAGAACCTTTGCTCTTGAACAGCTCATCCTTAAAAAAGTACCCCATGAGTTGACATGGCCCATAAACACAACTGTGGGAAAGCTGTGAAAAATGGGAGGGACTCCACTATTGCAGATTCCCAGGCAGCTTCTATTCGTGGACATTAAAAGCCCTGAGAGAACTGTTTCTTGTGGAGAAGTCTCCATGGCATGGCAAGGGAAACTCCTCTCCCTAAATGAACTGAAGAAAGACTATTTTAGAGGTGGTAAACTGACTGAATTGTTTCTGTACATTGTTAGTGGGAAGAAAAGGTTGTAGGGGGGAGGAGAAATGTTCTAAAGGTTTTATTCTGATTCTCATTATTCTTTATTTACTGTTAATAAAGTTTCCTATATATCCTTTTAAAGCTTTGAGCCTGCTTTGCCTTCCTCCTAATCCTGTCTCACAGCAGGAAATGAGTAAGTATATTCTAGTAGGTACACTGGCATTTGGCCATCACTGAACACACCACATGGATTCAGCAAATAAACAGGTAAATAAGAAAATTTAAAATTATTATACTTACATCTCAAAACAATTTTCATTTTAAAAAAGGACTTCATACATATTGGGGTGCACAAGACAGAGAGTACTTTGGACCTTATCAGCATAAGAAAACTGATAGATAAAATGCCTTGGCAAAAGCAAACGGAACTTTGAAAATTAGATCTAGATAGCAAGAAGATTTAATTAGACAGGTTTACCGGAAAAAGAAAATCCTATTAAACTCTGTAAGCAAGAGGTGTTGTTATATGCATAAGTTTGTGTATATGATTCTAACCTAATCATTGTAGTGCACATTACTAATCTCCCTAAAATAGTATATAAGTGCTTGTATCCCACAATAAAATCAGATTCTGATCACCGAGTCAGTCTCCCCGTCTCTCTCCATCGCCGACACGTACAGATAAGGCAATGGGAAAAAAAGCCCAGACCAACACACCATTTTCTCCAAAAGTTTTTTAAATGGTTTTAATCATGCTTTCATGCTAGGATAGTTGGCACAATACACAGCTCTGATTCTACCTAGAATGTAGTTTTGGGTAGAGCAGATTCAGGTAGCTCACAGTTACTGAACAAGATCATACTTTTAACCTTAACCTTGTCCATGCGTTTCCTATACACTGATAGTATTGAGGTCGCAGATCCCTCTAAATCATTTGATCTCAGTAATCCTGAAGAAAACCAACACATTCAAAAGTTTTCTGCTGTGTTTAGTGAATCCAATCATCAATTAAATGTATTAATGTATTAGAGGAAAAAAACATTGCTCTGTTGCTTTTGGCTGGGGTAGAGTTGGTTTTCTTCCAAGTGGCTGGTATGGGGCTATGTTTTGGACTTGTGCTGAACACAGGGTTGATAATATAAATGGTTTTTTTATTCCGGAGCAGGGTTTACACAGATCCAAGGTCTTTGCTGCTTTTTGTACTGCCATGCTGGGGAAGGGGCTGGGGCATGCATGGGAGGTTGGGAGGAGACAGCTGAGATAGCTGACCCCAACTGGCCAAAGGGATATCCCAGACCATATGACATCATGCTCAGTATTTACAATGAGGGAAAGAAGAAGGAGGAGGGAGATATTTGAAGTTATGGCATTTGTCTTCCCAAATAACCAATACATGTGATGTATCCCTGCTTTCCTGGAGATGGGTGAACATCTGCCTGCTCATAGGAAGTGGTGAATTAATTCTTTGGTTTGCTTGTGTGTGTGGCTTTTGCTTTTCCTATTAAACTGTCTTTATCTCAACCTGTGAGTTCTCTCACTTTTACCCTTACAATTCTCTCCCTGATCCTACTGGGGGGAGATTGAGCGAGTGACTGCATGGGGCTTGCTGGGATTAAACCATGACAACTGGCCACACTGGATGGGAGAGTTAGTAGAAACAACACAGCTGACAGGCAACAAGACCCTCCCCCTGTCAGAAACAGATAGATCAATCTCAATTGCCTGTGCAACCACAGCTCAGGTCAGAAACCTACCTTCTGAAAGGCAATGCAAGCTAAATGCAATCTAGTGCTGTCTGTCCTTTGATATATTTCTTAAAATGCTCCCTTCCACATACCTAGGACAGTTCCTCCTACAGTTTACTGGAAAGAGAATGACAGAACAGAGGAGTAGCTGGAATTATAACAGAGCATCTCCTCCTCCAGTCCCAATGGAAAACAAGCAAACCTCACAATAACCAGGACTCGCTAACTCTGGTATGACACTGCAGTCTGGTTGCTCACAAGGGCCAAATTAATACAAATGCTCAAAATTCTATAGTTTGAGCAACTGCTGTGAAGGCATCTCCCTATTATCAATGTGTAATATATTTAATGTGCTGCATCACATATGTAAGTGATACGGCGAAATATGTAAACCATTAACAATACTGAAAATAAGGATTGTTATGTTCAAGAGTTACTGTCCTCACTTCTGACATTACAGACAGCAGAACCTGGGGGGAAGGGGAGGAAAGAAGCAAAGCTTTCTCATACTTTATTTTCCAAAGGCATACAAAACAAACAGCAACATTTATTAGAAGTTCACACAAGCCTCAGAAAAAGTTTTACAAGTTGCTACAGTGAGGTTTTCTGAAACCTCAGACAGAGATCTGCAGGAGTTATGTAAATAACTGCCAGACCAATCAGATCCTTCACATGACATACAAGCCATTAAGCACAAATTAAGGGCTTAGGTTTAATATAGTGTCCAGGTAACACCGACTAATATTTTATTGTAGGGTTGAATGGCAGTATGGGACATGAGTAGACAAGCTGCATAAAGCTTGTTCGATGCTCATTTCCTGTCTTATGACCATGCTAACTTCAGTGCCTTTGACCTCCAGGTCTTTCTTTCCTTAAAAACACCTGCTTATTCTTTAGGAAGCTCCTGAATCTAGGAGATGAGAAAAAAAAATAAAAAATAAAAAATACTTTCCAGAAAATCCCAGCAGAACCCCACCCCAGTTTAGTAGATGTCATAGATCTCACAGAGGCATTCCCTCCCCTCTGTGCACTGCAGTCCAGAGTGTGAAGAACAAGTCGGCTTTCTTCGCTGACAAGATCTACAACAGATTACATATTCCCACTCAAATTGAAGACCTGAAGTCACAAATGACTTGTCATTGATTCAGTCAGTGAACTTCCCATTTCAGTTCTCATTCTGGACGAATATGATGAATTAGTACCCTAAACCTAACACACACACTTCCTTTATTCGTGTGTATTTTTAGTCAGCAACATACATCCTCCCATCAAGAGATACTGGACAAGATGAGAAACACTGGATCCCCAACAGAGAAAAAAGAATCCATAGGCATAAACAGAAAATACTTTTTGTGTATTTTAATCATAAGGAACAACCGGAATAATAATACCAAGTTTTTTTGTCAAATGATGAAAGCATCTAAAGGCATTTCTGTCAGAGCATACTGCTGTCATTTTTTCTGAACACGGCTCAAACGCCAAAGCAAACAAGAAGTCGTTACTTTGCATTGAAAGCCTTTCCTCCTTCCATCACCTCATCCCCTCCCACCTATCCGCCAAAACCTCCCCGTGCTTTTCTCCCACCCACACCCCTCTTTCCCCCAAATCACCTCAACCCCATCCACAGCGACCCCGCACATCTCATAGCTCACCCTAAACTTGTCCCGTTTTCTCCTCCCACATGAGCCCCTTCCATCTCGTCTTCATCCCTCTCGCACCCCTCTTCTCCCCCCCATTTCAGCCCCTTAACTCACCGCCGCGCCCCCCCCGTCGCCTCCCCGGCCTGCTGCAGCCTCCCCGCCACCAGCGGTAGCCGCCGCTCACGCCCCACGCAACCGCCCTCCACCGCCAAGCGCGAGCACTCCCCTGACAACCGCAGCGCGCACCAGGCCCAGCCACTTCCCAGCCCCGCGCACACAATGGGCCCCGCGGGCAGCCTCCCCCGCGCCACGCACCGGGGCGACGGCACTCGGCCACTTCGTCGAACTGGCTCCCTCCCGCCGCCCCTGCCCTACTGACCATCGCTGCGCTTGATCTCCACGTAGATCCCTATCTGAACCTTGCTGAAGTTGGCCGCTGCCATCGCTTCATGGGGCAGCCGGGGATATCGGAGGCACTGCCGGACAGCGCACAGGGGGCAGTGAGGGCGCACACAGCAGCGAAGGCGGCGGCTTCGAGAGGGCAGGCGGGCGGAAAGCGGGGGGCGGAGAGAAAGAGTAAAGGCGCCGGCCGGATATAACAAACACTGGTACTTGCAGCGCCTGTGCAGCTCGCCGCGGCATCACGACAGGCCCGGCTCACGGAGAAGGCGGGGGTAGAAGCTCCGCCGCGGTTTGTTCTCCGCCCTTCACAGCACCTGGGCAGGGCTGGCACAAGATGGGCGCCCCCACTCCCCAGGGGCTGCCTCCCTGCTCGCTTTAGCCTGGACCAGATGTTCGTCCCAGCTGCGAGCTGCCTATGCGAGCCTCTCCTCTTGGCCTTGTCCCTGACTTAAAAACACACACGTGTACCTATTTGGCACAAAATTGTGACTCTGCTGCTGTTATACATATATATTATAATATTGGCTTTTCACAAATATTAAAATGGATTTTATATGTGCAGTGTTAAAGTAACTTTGTTATAAAGATATAGTTTTCATTTCTGTTGTTATTAAGCTTAGACATAGTAGTGAAATAAGTATGCTTGTGTTAAAATGCCTGCTTGGATGGGATAACATCCAATGAACATAGGATAAGGACACCTGCTACAGATATGCCAACTATCAGCACTCACCGTCTGAAGACTGTGGACCAAGGCCCAAAAACTGGAGGTGATAAGAATGGACTAAATACAACAACCAAGGAATATGCATGCTCTAAAACAGCAGACCCAAGGAGGAGCCATGCTAAACAATTCTTGGAACATGTAAACTTGTTTGGGGAAAATGTTTACTATGCATAAGGGTCTATGAATATGCAACAGGCTGATACAATGGAAAAGGTATTTAAGGGGTATCCTAGAAGACAAGTGTGCTCTTGGCTGTGTGCCAAGATGCACCCGGCCGTAATAACCTTTGCTCTATGGTCCTTGTCTCCTATTGTCCTTTATTAAACTTCTTAAATTTTCACAGGACAGTGAACGTGTTTTTCACAGCTGCCTTGAAGTTTTAATGTAATAGCTTTATCTGCCTAATATCAACTCATAAGGCTCCCATGTGCCAAGTAAAGCAGCTTAGAAGCATGCTTTGTACTTGCTCCCCAAACTGCCAGCATCAGTCCAAATAAGTCCACACTGTCAACAGCACCCATCCATCTTCACCTCATGATTGATTTTATACAATTTTAAAACACCTCAAAACTCATTTCATCTTCCTTGTTTGCCTATAATGATTACTGTACCTTAGGTGAAATAAATAGGACAGGAGATCTTTCTTGTGAAAAACGCCAATCACTTGTTTTCAAAATTTTAAAAGTTTAATAGTAATAAAATGGTTATAAAAATAGTAATACAATTAGAGTAATAATAATTTGGACAAGTTGAATTAGGACAATATGAGACAATAAAGACAAAGAGTTACGGACGTCCGGGTACCTTTTTCTGGGCAGCATGCCCAAAAAAGGACACCCGTTAATAAAGGATTAACCCTTAAAAACAGTAGCCTGTTGCATATTCATACACTTCATATACGATGCATAAATTCCATTCAAATACTGGATTCTGTCTGGTCATCATCAACTTCTTCCTCCAAATCCTAACAGTGCCTTCGAGGTGGGAAGAAGTTGCTTTCTTCTGATAAGAGGGCCATAAATTCTTCTTCTCTGAAAGATTTAGGTGTCCTGTGGCTGCTATCTCCCTGCGAGTCCTTTCTTTTTAAAAAGAGTATCCTACATAGCATTGTTTCTATTTTAACAATTTTTATAACCTAAAACTATATTTAACACAGTACTTAAGAGAATTAATACAGAATTCCTTTCTAACACAACACATATAATATTCATTTTAATATTTGCGAAAAGCCAATCATAAAATACATGCATTTTTCACAATCCCCACTCTTATTCTTTGTAAATCATTTGGCTTGAGCAATATTTCTTATCTACTTGCATCTTCTGGACTATGCTGGCAAAATAAAAGAGGGGATTACACAAGGAAGAGATATAAAAACAGTTGTAACACATAAAATGAAAGATCTTAATTTCTTCTAATACATTACCCCACCAGCTAGGTTTTAACATTGTTTTCTAATTATTCTGGACCAGTACCTGGGTTATTATATGCATATATATTTTTTTTTTTCTTCTTTGATTTCTTTCGCTTTTGCTAGAATGACTTTTCTGTGGTCATCAATCTTCAACAATCTGATAAATTAAACTTTCCACAAACATCCCCTTCTTTTGCCAATAAATAGTCTAAAGTCAACCTATTCTGATACACTACAGGTTTTGTTTGGCTTAGCTGACTTGATATTAACTCTAATGCCTGGGCAGCTTTATTTGCTATCATTTCTATAACTGCTTGGAGTCTTGTAATACGACTCAATAGATAATTTGGGGTCAATACAGAGTTAAATTGCTGTGCTGGTTTTACCTTTATATTTACTTTTTTTTTTTACCAAATCTTGAACTGTATCTTCAAGATTAAATGTAAAAAAATCCATCTCTCTCCTTTTAGACATTCAAATCCAAATCTATTACCACTTTTTCCTAAGTTTCTTGTGATCTAATAAATTTCTCCTTTTTGCCTACAGGTTCTTAATTTGGATGGGTTATAACAGTGGCTGTTGACATGGGTATGTGTAATAAAAGAGGAACTTTGGTTTCTTTTTATGTGATGCTTTCCGTAGCATTTGTGACACAATCTTGCTGGTATCCCAAAAGGGAAAAGACGACAAATGAGTGCCAGAAACAGGAATAACAGAGGTCCAGTATGGCTTATACTCCCACCTCCCATGCCTGTGAGGTTGCAACCCACAGCAGGTGTATTTGATCTTCTCGGTGGCAAAATACAGAGGCCAATCTGGTCTTGCCCTCTATTTCCTTGTCACTTTCTCTTAAGTATTTTCTAGGCAAATTGTTTTTGACACCCTTTAACTGTGGTCTCTTACCGTTCCTCAGGTATCTCTCATTCAACAGGCACTAATAATTCCCATCCACAAAACAAAGTTATTACTTTAACACTTTTTGCAATAAGAGCATAAATTTTGTGAACCACAATACTAATTATTCCCACAATTCAAGCATTTACTTATAACCCAGATAGCATGTCCAGTATTGGAATGAATCAAATAAAGTTTACTAATGGAAATAGTAATTCCCCTTCCCCCCTGTACAATTCACAGGCTAAGGTCAGAATACAAAAACAGTCTTGATCTTTTTATCTGAAGTATTCCTCCCCAAAGGAGATGTTTTATTCAGGTAGTGCTTGAAACCAGTGATATAAGCACTGTCTTACTTCTTAATTCAGTGTTATTCTTTGTACATTTCTTGGATCATTTGGGTTTTTCTAAACTATTAAATATTAGACCCCGAATGTTTTGGGGTGTGTCCTGCCTGGCTTCGTCTGGCCTCGCTGCTGGACCAAAGGCTGCAGCTGTGGTGTTTTCACCTCAGAGATACCTTTGGCCGGCTGGGTGCTGCAGCTGGGCACTCAGAACAAATCCAGGCAAAATAGGAACTCAGTTTACCTCTGGTGGAAAAGGTTCAGGCAACAGTGAAGAGAAAAGAAGCGGGTTCTGCTGTAGAGCTTAAATCCAGAGTTTTATTGTAGCATGGCAGACTTCTGAATGTGGTAACAGCTCCAGACAGAGACCCCGGCCGCGTGGTCTCATGTCCTTTTAAGCCCCGGGGACAGGGGGAGGGGAGGGACAGGTGAGGGCCAACCAAGTGTGAGGAGGGGAGGGGGCAAGGGATGTGGATGCTAGGACAAACCAATGAGCCCAGGCCTGGGGGGCATCTGCCAATCACACGACGCCTTGCTGGAAGGTGAAGATTGATGGACAGCTCCCAGGCAGGAGGGCAAAGGGGGAGGGGGAAAGGTTGGCGTACCTGAGGGGGATGGGATAGGTGAGACAGGAAACCACACTGCAACATTAAACTATTACCATTCAGTCCCCATTGGAAAGTCAGTTTGGTATCACCTGGTTTAAATGTGATAGTCTATTCTTCAGGTTTCTTCACAAGTCTTTTGATTCTGTTGGCATTAATTCACCCTCTTTCCGTGATTCCGATTGTTGCTTCAGTAGTACCTTGAAAGGACTTCTTAATAGCATAGTAATAAAAGAAAGACAATACTGTATTAACTTCTACCATTTGCTTTTCTTCTAAACTTTCTGGGTTTAGCTAAAAGCTTTCTCCACAGCAGCCTCTTCTTCTTATATCCAGCTGTGCTAATAGCTGCAGAGGCAAATTCTTCTTTCTGTGAGTTACAGTTAGTTAAATAAGAAAAGCCTGACCAATTTCAACACGAGAGGTATCACATCTATTGCTTTTTACTTTTTGGGCAGCATTTAATTGTTTTAGCCTTACAAACCCATTCTTCAGGGAAAAAAAAAACAACTTCTTTTTAACAGCAAAAAAAAACACACAAAAGAAAAAAAACTTCTTACTTAAGAAAAACAACCTACTTTGTGAGGTTTGGAGAGTCATCAATCTCTGCTTTGATTTTATCTTTTAGTGCTAGCCCCCCTCCCCCTCTCTTCACAGCCTTGCTGTCAATGCTCTTCTTTGCCCTTTCCCCGGTGCTGCCACTTTGCTGCAGGGCCAGAGCAGGGGGGAACAGCCACGGGCATGGGGACCCTGGGGGCATGCCTTGGGTATCTTTTGCCCTCTCTCTCTCTCTTCTTCTCTCTCTTTCTCTTTCCTTCTCTCTCTCGGCCCACTTACCGGGGCCGACACTGCCATCCTCGACTCGGGACCCCGACAATCTGGGAGCCACCCCGGTAGTTCTGCCACGGAGCCAGCCCGCTCCTGCCTGGCAAACCTGTGTCCTCTTCTCCCAGCACCGCTGCCAGGTCACCTCCATGGATTGGTCCCTGCCGCAGCCCCCAAGACCCCGCCGCTCCTAGGGAGTGGTCAGACACCTCCCAACCTTGACAACCCCAAACTTGGCATCCTCAGGTGCTCCTGACATTCTTTTTCT